CTAAGTTTTAAAGCACATTGGTCATTAGGCAAATGATAATTTGTGTTTCTGAAGAAAAACTATAAAACAAGAGAAAAGGCTGCAGAGATAGTAGGAACTGCAGATTCTGGAGAATCTGAGATAACAAGGTGTAGAGCTGGATGAACACAGCAGGCCAAGCAGCATCAGAGGAGCAGGAAGGCTGACGTTTCGGGCCTAGACCCTTCTTCCGAAATGGGGGAGGGGAAGGGGGTTCTGAAATAAATAGGGAGAGAGGGGGAGGCGGATAGAAGAGGGATGGAGGAGAGGATAGGTGGAGAGGAAACAGACAGGTCGAAGAGGTGGGGATGGAGCCAGTAAAGGTGAGTGTAGGTGGGGAGTTAGGGAGGGGATAGGTCAGTCCAGGGAGGACAGACAGGTCAAGGGGGCAGGATGAGGTTAGTAGGTAGGAGATGGGGTGGGGCTTGAGGTGGGAGGAGGGGATAGGTGGGAGGAAGGACAGGTTAGGGAGGCGGGGACGAGCTGGGCTGGTTTTTGGAAGGGTTGGGGGAGGGGAGATTTTGAAGCTTGTGAAGTCCACATTGATACCATTGGGCTGCAGGGTTCCCAAGCGGAATATGAGTTGCTGTTCCTGCAACCTTCGGGTGGCATCGTTGTGGCACTGTAGGAGGCCCAGGATGGACATGTCGTCTGAGGAATGGGAGGGGGAGTTGAAATGGTTCGCGACTGGGAGGTGCAGTTGGTTAGTGCAAACTGAGCGTAGGTGTTCTGCAAAGCGGTCCCCAAGCCTCCGCTTGGTTTCCCCGATGTAGAGGAGGCCACAACGGGAACAGCGGATGCAGTATACCACATTAGCAGATGTGCAGGTGAACGTCTGCTTGATGTGGAAAGTCTTCTTGGAGCCTGGGATGGGGGTGAGGGGGGAGGTGTAGACATTTTTCCCTCCCCACCCTTATCTGCTTTCCGAGGGACCACTCTCTGCATGACTCCCTTGTCCGCTCCACACTCCCCTCCAGCCCCACCATACCCGGCACTTTTCCCTGCAACCGCAGGAACTGCTACACCTGCCCCCATACCTCCTCCCTCACCCCATCCCAGGCCCCAAGAAGACTTTCCACATCAAGCAGATGTTCACCTGCACATCTGCTAATGTGGTTTACTGCATCCGCTGTTCCTGTTGTGGCCTCCTCTACATCGGGGAAACCAAGCGGAGGCTTGGGGACCGCTTTGCAGAACACCTACGCTCCGTTCGCAATAAACAACTGCACCTCCCAGTCGCGAACCATTTCAACTCCCCCTCCCATTCCTCAGCCGACATGTCTATCCTGGGCTTCCTGCAGTGCCACAACGATGCCACCCGAAGGTTGCAGGAACAGCAACTCATATTCCGCTTGGGAACCCTGCAGCCCAATGGTATCAATGTGGACTTCACAAGCTTCAAAATCTCCCCTCCCCCTACCGCATCCCAAAACCAGCCCAGCTCGTCCCCGCCTCCCTAACCTGTCCTTCCTCCCACCTATCCCCTCCTCCCACCTCAAGCCCCACCCCATCTCCTACCTACTAACCTCATCCTGCCCCCTTGACCTGTCTGTCCTCCCTGGACTGACCTATCTCCTCCCTACCTCCCCACCTGCACTCACCTTCACTGGCTCCATCCCCGCCTCTTTGACCTGTCTGTCTCCTCTCCACCTATCTTCTCCTCTATCCATCTTCTATCCGCCTCCCCCTCTCTCCCTATTTATTTCAGAACCCCCTTCCCCTCCCCCATTTCGGAAGAAGGGTCTAGGCCCGAAATGTCAGCTTTCCTGCTCCTCTGATGCTGCCTGGCCTGCTGTGTTCATCCAGCTCTACACCTTGTTATCTCAGAAAAGGCTGCAGCCTGACTTTAGGAGGTAATATTAAACTCTACATCATGCGAATGCCGTATAAAAAATTTAAATCCTCCTTTTTGTTTTGAGGATTGCAATGCCTTTTACAAACAAGAAACAGTATTAAATTTTCCAGTTAAATTTATTCATTTAATTCATTTATTTATATCAGAGAGTTGGAGGTAGGGTCCAAATCTAATGCGCCAAATTTGCAGATGACCCAAAGCTAAGTGGGAATATGTGTTGTGAGGAAATTGTAAAGTGGCTTAGCTAGATTTGGAGAGGTTTAATGAATGGGCAAGAACATAGCATATAAAGTGGAAAAATGTGAAGGTATCCACTCTGGTAGTAGAAACAAATGTGCAAAATATTTCCAAATGATAAGAGGCTGGAAAGTGCAGATGTACAAAGGGACCTAAGTGTCCTTGTCAGTAAGTCACTGAAGGCTAACAAGAGGTGCAGCAAACTATTCAGAAGTCTAATGGAATGGTAGCCTTGATTGCAAGAGGATTTGAGTATGAGTCGTGAAGTCTTACTTCAGTTATATAGGAGCTTGGTTAGACTGTATCTGGAGTACTGTGTGCAGTTTTGGTCTCCCTATCTCAAAAAAGATATTATTGCCATAGAGAGAGTGCAGCAAATGTTCAACAGACTTGTTCCTGGGATGGTGAAACTGTTCTATGTAGAGAAATTGGGCAAACTGGATCTGTTTTGATCTGTATTGAAGAATGCGAGATAATCTCATTGAAACCTACAAGCATGGACAGAATAGATGCAGGTGAGATATTTCCCTTGGCTGGAGAGTCTAAAACCCGGGGACACAGTTTATAAATAAGGGGGATATCACACAGCTCGGAGATGAGAAGAAATCTTTTTACTCGGCAATATTGAACCTTTGGAATTCTCTACCACAAGAGACCTGTGCAAGATCAGTCTTTGAGTACATTAAAGGTTGAGATTGAGAGATTCCCGATTACCAGTGAATGTACAGGGTCATGGAGATAAGGTGGGTAAAAGGCACTGAAGTGTTCCATCAGCCATGATCATACTGAATGGCAGGACAACCTCGATGGGCTGAATAGCCTACTCCTCTCTCTATGTTCACTGTTTAAATGGAGGGAGTTGAAAATAATTGTTTATAATCTGACAGGAAAACACAGATGAAATTTAGAGACATGAGAAATAGATAGAGTGTAGGCTTTGAATGGTCAGGACTGTAGGAAATAGGAGCAGAATTAACCATTAGTTGGATAATGGTAGATCTTCTATCTCAGTGTTAGTTTTTGACATTATCCATATATGCCTTGATGTATTTATATCTATCAAAATATATCGATTTCTATCTTATGCATACAGTAACTGAGCCTCCATAGCAATGTAGGATAGACAGCCTCAAAGATTCACCACACTCTGAGTGAAGAAATTGGATTATTCCTTGATCTGCTCTTGGTTCCAGCTCTCTGCTTATCACCCACCCCACCCCACCCCCACCCCCACCCCAATTCCTGCTTCCACTCATCAAGTCCTGTCAGAAATGAGATCTCCTTTTATTGTTCAAATAGAGGTCCAATTTCCTCAATCTCTCCTCACAGGCCAATTCCTCAATCCCAGGAGTCAGACAGTCTCATGAACTTTTGTTACAATCCCTCTATGGCAAATATATCCTTCTTTAGGTAAGGAGACCAAAACTGCACACAATACTCCAGCTGCAGTCTCACTAAGGCTTTATAAAATGGTAGCAAAACACCATTACTTCCATTCTCAAATCCTCGAGCAATAAACAGCAACACACCATTTACTTTCCTAACTACTTACTGCACCTTAGTGCTGTCTCTTCATAACATATGAACCAGGACACCCAAGTCCCATTTGGACATCAACACTTCCCAATCTTTCACCATTTGAGAAATACTATGTATTTCTGTCTTTCCTGCCGAAGTGAATAACTTCACATTTTTCCAATTGTGTTCCATCTGCCATGTTCTTGCCCACTCACTTAGTCTGTCTAAATCCCCTTGAAGCATCTTTGCGTCCTCCACACAACTCACATTCCCACCCAGTATTGTGTTGTCAGCAGACTTGGAAATATTATATCTGGCTCCCATATGCCAATAAATCATTGTTATTGTGAACAGCTGGGGGTCCCTGTCAAATTAGGTATTACCCATTTATTCCTACACTTTCTATCCATTAACCAGTCCTCAGTCCATGTCAGTATGTTACCCCTAATGTCATGTGCTTCAGTTTTTCTTACTAACCCCTTGTGTGGGTCTTATCAAATGCATTCTGAAAATCCAAATATGCCACATCCCACCCTTATCTATTCCACTAGTTTCAAATCCATCAAACTCCAATAAGTTTGTTAAACAGAGTTTCTCTTCCATTAGTCCATATTGCCTCTGCTGAATAAACTGTCATTATTTTTTATATATCTAGTTATCGCATGCTTTACAATAGATTCCTATATTTAGGGTCTGTTGTGGTGCATTTATAGTGTCTCTCGCCCTAAGCTAGGAGGCCCTGGTCCAAGTCCTACCTGCTCCAGATGCGTATCACAACACATCTCAACATGTTGATTAGAAATATTGAGATTCGAGCATTTTCCCTATCATTGATGTCAGGGTTATTGGTCTGTCAAATCCAGTTTTCTTTCTGCCTTATTTCAAAAATAGTGAGATTCCATGTGTTGCCTTCCAAACTGCAGGAACCATTGCAAAATCCATAGAATTTTGAAAGATGACCATTATCTCTATAACCATCTCTTTCAACTCCGTGGGATGTGGATTATCAAGTCCAGGGCCACCAAACTTCAGTCCCAGTAATTTATATACTATTACCTTTTAACTAATAATGGGTAATGATATGAGAGCAGCAAAATATACACATACTTAGGGTTTTTAATTAAGAGAACTTATATGAATGGGCAATCAACAAGTGGCATTTCAGGTGAAAAAGTGTAAACTAAGAAAAAAGGCAGAAAGTCAGACAGCAGGAAAAAATAGTCAATATTTCAACAGTATGAACATGTGAACATGATGAAATGAGTGTCCTATTAGATCAATGAATGTTAGGTTTTTTAACAATTTCCTGCAGGTTCACACAGCAAATAGTTGTCATGTCAGATGATTGATTAACTGCTTTTTGTTTTGGAAGGTTACCTGGTTTTATTGGACGATTGGTTCACTGAACACGTCTTCGAAGTGGTTGTGGACAAAAAGTACATATCAGCAGAGATTTTGAAAATAATGGAGCAGGAACCCAAAGTTCTACCAGCTTGGGATCCAATGGGCTGTCTAGCATGAACAACAAAGGTTTTATGTTCTTCAAGCAAAATTAAAGTTGTGAATAAAAATATATTCATTCCTACACTTAGCTGGATCTTATTTCTGACTATTGTGAGCTATCAGCATAAGATACGAAATTGCTGACTTTTGAAAGAAGTACTCCTCAGAAAAAAGACACATTTTTGCCTAAGCTTCTTAATCTTGCAATCATAAGAACCATTAACAAGAAGTACCAATATAAAGGGAAAACGATATACTGTTTGAGAGGAGAATGCTGGTCAATTGGCAAGTAGACACTGATTGTACAACGTTGCTGTGGGGATTGCACTGTTTTAATGATGACTGATAGTTAACTGCCAAGTGTAATTTACATTTTAAACCAAACAAGTTTACTCTGATAGGGCATTGACTCAACAAGAGAAATAAACCGAAGAATGGCTGTCACCTATTTCTGTTGAGTTGAAACAGATACAGTGTGTGTATGCATTTAAACTGCAAGACCCTGTGTATTAATACACTTACCTTTCAGTCTTCACAAGTGCACCACAGTGCGTGATTAATTGACAATCCTAGATTGTATCTTGCCTGTTGTAACACAGCAGCATATCCCTTCAGCTATTCACTGTAAGCAAGGTACTGACCACATCCAACCAGCAGATAAAACCCTAAAACAGTTTTCAACATTGGATATGATTCTGCACTGGATAACATTTACTAAATCATCCTGAGTGTGCAAGTGTTAAACTGACAGCCAATTTAGGATTGTCAGTCAGATCCGCATGCTGGAAGCTACATACATTAATGTATCTGCTCTTCACAGACAGCAATAACATGTACATATGTTGCACCTGTTTCAACTTAACAGAATAACAGCCACTGTCTGGCACAATTCTCATATATGTTTAAGAAAGAGATCAATAATGTTTGGATTTTAAAGGCATTAAGTGATATGAGGAGAAAATGAGAATATGGCATTGAGATAGAAGATTAGCCATGATCGTATTGAATGGTAGAGCAGGCTTGAAGGGCCAAGTAGTCTACTCCTGCTCCCCGTTTCTATGTTTCTTTGTCAGTGTCTTGACCAATGAGAGGCAACCTGCTTGGTGTAAAATATAAATTATAAATAAAGCTTGGCAGTTAGCTGTCAGTCACCATTAACTGGTGCATTCCCTGTGGCAGTATTAATCTCCTTGCCAACCAATCTGTACACTCCTGCAGTATAAACCTCGTTTTCCCTTTCCACAGGTATTTCTTGCAAATTGTCCTAATGAGTGTAATTTGGAAGACTTGTGTCTTATGGAAATGTATCTTGTTTTTCTGCAATACTCAAATTCCATACCAGCAAATGACTACTTAGTATTCCTGTTTTGTTGTCCTAATGTTTAATGTCATTTAACTGATTGTGTCCTTTTCCAACCTTGACAAAAACTGGTCAATATTTTCAGTAAGTATGCCTCATGTGAATTCTTTGTTTGTAAATGAGATTTCTTATGTTTCTCAAGACAAAGAACAAAGATGTCTCAGAACAAACACCCAGTGACTGCATCGAGTCATCTCTGTCCAAGTATAATGTGAGGCACATGCAGTGAATAGCTGCCACTTATGTGGCTAAGTTGTCAATCCTCCATTCTAAACCTTGAGAGAAGTCTACTGTATGTCGGGTGATGACAATTTGAAGTACCATCTATTAGGCAAGAGACATTTTAAAATCCTTGTTTTTGGAACTTCATTCTGGCACGTATTTCCAGAAGGGAACGTTTGGTGAAGAACATTATCCCCTCTTTCGTGGTTTGTCTGGAGTTGGAAGAGCATGTAGTGAGGTGGGAGGGTAGCATAGCAGCATTCTATTGCTTTCTCACCTCTGCCAAACTTAAGTCAAGGATGGGAACACCCATGGAAAACTTTCCATCTCGCAGCCAAAGTGAGGCCTATCACTAGGCACTTAATGACCACTTAAGGACCTCATCTTACCACTGTTAATATTAACCCAGCAACAGACTGGCCAGTTGGGAAGCACAAGAGGCAAACCTGTGCAGTCTGTTTCTGGTCTCCTACTGGGTGGGGATGGGGAGTCCTTTGTGCAAAAGACACTCAATGCCTGCTCAAGGGACCTGTAAGTGAGGAAGGTCTGCTGAATGCCGATCCGCTCCCCCCTCACCGGCCTTAGTGCCGACACCCTCTCCTCCACAATACCCAACCTGCTAAACCCCTCCCATTATCATCTCTGATCTGAGTGGCTCCAAGATCCTGGGCCTTTGGTGGCCAACATGACCACCTCCCCAGTGACAAGTGCTAAGTGCAAAAAGTCGCTGGCTTTTCATCGACTGGCAGAAAAGCACTTTCTGATCTTGATCTTGGAGCTCTGATCTTGTTGAGGGTCTTCCACTAGAGGTCTCCCAATTGCCTGAGTGGCATATAATACTGGTGGGTTCTTCCCTGGAGCGCTAGCTGGGGCTCCTGCTCTCTAGCTGACTGGCAATCCCCCAAATCCATGGCTGTATCTCGCCTCATCACATTCAGATTTTTCATTATTCCTGGCCTTAACTTCAGACGAAAGAACTTATTCCAAACCAACAACTTTTTTTAAAAGAAAAACAACCATTTTCACTATTCCTGCAATACACCAGTCATTGTTCTTTCCTCTCCTTAAATCTTCCAAGGACAGTGATTCTCATCTCCAAGGGAAGGTGAGAGATCTTGTTCCAGGCCTCACCTAAGGCCACAATGAAGTCAATTACAAGGATGTGTACAAATGATCTAGTGTGACGGACCTTCAAATTTCTTACCTACCTCTAGCTGACATCTACTTTGAAGTGTGCAACAGGAATTCTGGAATTCACTGCATGGGAGTTGCCATGTGCTTTCATTTTAAAGTATTTGTTGTCCCAGTACATTTGCACAGTGTCATTCTTTGTTTCCTTTTAACGAGATACAAATAAAAGTCCGTTCTAAGGAACTGAGTTTGGGGAAACAGGATAGGAAATCTGACGACCAGATTGCTACACAAGCAGGTTCCATTCTGCACACGCTTATGTGAATGTTGATGCTGTAAAGAGTGTATAGAGACAAAGATAAGAAACATTACATTGCTTTTGATGCCCTAGGATATAGATGAAAGCAAGGCATGGCAACTTCATTCTGTTTTTATTTGGTATTTTGTTGCCATTTAAAACAGCATGCCTTGTTCTAAAACATTAACTACTCACAAAGAATTCTTCTCTTTGCTTTAAACTCTTAAAGCGTTTCTTGACCAGAAGTATGCCAGTTGGCCAACTACTCCAGTTGATCAAGAGATACTCATAATCAATGTAAAAACACACACTAAGTAATAAAACGTAATGCAGGGGTTTTACTCATCACTGCTATACTTTATTTACAGCTAACTCAGTTAAATAATAATGCAACCTTACCTTAAATAAAATTTAGCGGCAGAAAGCTTTCTCAATCGCACCGTCAGCTGACTATTTGGACATAGTGGAGATTGCGGTAAAACAGTAAACTTTGCAGTATTTAAGGCATATGGATTTTGGTGGTTTATTGAGAATGCCGGTTAAAACAAAGTGGACTGTACTGTAATAACTGTGAATTGGCCTTGTGTGCAAAATTATTTATTTATTTTTTACAAACCCTCTTCGCCTGATAAGATAGCTGCCTTGTGATTATTTTGTCAGATATTAGGATAGGTCAACCTGTTTAGAGATGTTATTACACATCTCAGGAGCAGACAGGACTAGAACCTGGGAATGCCTCGCTCAGAGATAGGCTTACTAACACGGCCCCACATGAAACCCTGAATTTTCTTTTATCCAATCTGTGTGATTCTGTTACAAGCTGCACGAATTCCATGCTATATTGTCCTAATCAACTTGTTCAGAGATGTTGTAACATACCCCTGGAGCAGTGGGACTTGAACCTGGGGCTCCTGGCTCAGAGATAGGGACACTACCACTGCATCACAAGTACCCCTAGATTACTTTGTTATCATGCTTCAACTGATCAACTGCCTATTTGCTGAATTAAATTCAAAATGGAGCAATTTGAAAAAGTGCATTCGAACATTTATTGTTGAAAAATGCAATGTTAAAAATCGCCAATTAACCAATTTTTAAATTAAACTGTAGAGAAGGTCAACAATATACAGAAACAAATTTTTCAGTTCAAGATGTACTACAACTTACTAGGTAAAGGACAATTAAATAGAAGAAAAATACAGGTCAGTTTTTTTTCTGCATTACCGCCTTCAAATGCGTTCTGAAAGCCCACACTGCCCTAAGTAAAAACTGAAAGAACTGTGGATGCTGTAAATCAGGAACAAAAACAAAGCTGCTGGAAAAGCTCAGCAGGTCTGGCAGCATCCGTGAAGGAAAAAACAGAGTTAACGTTTCGGGTCCGGTAACCCTTTCCCAGTTCTGAGGAAGGGTCACTGGACCCGAAACGTTAACTCTTGTTTTTTCCCTTAACAGATGCTGCCAGACCTGCTGACCTTTTCCAGCAACTTTGTTTTTGTTCCCACACTGCCCTCTCAGGTGGATGAAAAGATCCCATGGCAAAAAAGTAGGTGCGAGTTGCTGCTTGTGTCGTTACCAATTGTCAGACCAAACCAGACTTTCTGGTTATCATTTCAATTGTTCTTTGTGGGACACTGATGTGGACAAAGTGGCTGCCAGTTTTAACACATTACAACTGTGGCTGTAAAGTGCTTTTGGGTATAAAAGAAAGAAATAAAGTGCTTTTGGAACTGTCTACTCCCATTCCGCAATTAGTTTGTGCCCGGGTGTCCTTGGAGAAGGAGCACATGGTGTCCATCAATGCTGTCAATGCCTTTAGAGAGAGGTGCGCACTGCAGGGGATACAGTATTTATTTTCCCCTCCAACTCCAATCTGATTTAGTCCCTACCCACTGTCCCTACCCCTCCCTCACTTTTGATGGTTTGCATTGCCCTTAATGGGCATTGCATGTAAGTACTTAATTGGCTGGTTAATAGTAAGAAAAGTCACAGTGATTTGCAGCTGGGGCAAAAAAAAGCATTCAGTTGTGTGTAAGAACACTAGTGAACATAAGAAATAAAAAGAAAAACAAAAAA